AAATAATCAATTCACATATTTAATATGATTTCTTATCTGACGCTATAGGCATTCTACCCGCCTTGTTCGCCCATCTTCTTTTTGCTGATGATTAGATGATGCCTTAGTTAGGTATTGTATATATTAAAATTGGTTTTAGAAATTCAGTTGAAAATGTGTCCATGTCCCTTTAAGTTCCAGTGGTTCTTGGCTTATATCCTGTTAACATACTTTTTCCCAAAGATCGTTCACTTCCTTTTTCAAATGAAATATCATCTTAAAACACATATCTATAAAAGATTTGGACAATTCATTATTTGTTATTTTAAAAATATGTATAATTTAGAATATCTACCCCTCGAAGTTGCTGTATTAATTTAAAAAAAAATATCTTACAACAATAAACGCTGTTTTTATTTTTCCCCTCCTGGGTAGAATTTCAATCTGAATAATATTTTCTAAATAATTATTGATACAAATATAAACTTAAAGTCTTTGTTATTACGTAATGAGGGTTCTATTTTTAGTAAAATGACAAAAACCCGCGTATGTGTGGTGGGTGCGGGGGTAGTGGGCGTGTCCAGCGCGGTACGGATCCAGAACGAATTGCCGGAATCGTCACCATCATTGCTGACCGGTTCAGTCCGGACACCACTTCAGATGGGTCAGGTGGATTCTGGTTGCCACATCTGGTGGGCGGGGACAATCAGGAATTGGTCACGTTAGAATCCCATTCATCCATTGTTAATATTTCAAATTCTTACCAACCTTTCATATTTACATGAATATAATTATCTTCTTCGCTTATAAATAAAAAGCCAGATTCAATATGTAAAAGTTTCATGTAGATATTGGTTTTTTTTTTTATTGCTACTCTGATTCCTACCATAGGAAAAGCGGTGGCGACACCTGGGATTACCTGTTATATCTTGCAACCTCGCCTCTGGCCAGTCGCCTCGGGGCACAGATGGTCTCGGGTTACTCTTTCTTCGCAGAGACACAGGTAAAACAGAAAGTCTTATTCATGTGATGAAACTTGAATTTTTTTCAAATGACAAATGTATATGCACAATAACAAGAACGCATTTCTGTTGCTAGCCATTTTTTTCTTTATTGAAATAGTGTCCAGGATGGCGGCACCAGGTCTTAGGATACCGCGAACTGGACAACAAAGAACTTAAACTTCTTTTCCCCAAGGCCAGGTAAAACCTCTAACTCCTGATTTCGAGTTCACAGGTTTATTTGCATTTAGTTTTTACCGTATATATATCGTCTACGTATGTTGCACTTTGATTGGTTACCAATCGACGGTGTTCCTAGCTATGTCATACATTGTATGTTTTTGATTGGTCGGATTTACTGTCTTGGGATTGGTCACATATCCTGCTTACTAATAGGTTGTAGCTGTCTCTCTGTTGCAGATTTGGCGTGTTTTACACCACGGTGATGATCAATGTCAAGGCCTATCTGACTTGGCTGATGTCAAGGTCAGTATGACAATTGAATATTAGTTAGAAACCTGACATATATACATGTAATCAGTTTGGTATAAAATATATGGTCGATTTTTATTTGCTCAAGATATTTTGATTGGTCGTGTCATACTTTGTATTAGACAATATGTTACATGCATTTGATTTATGATTTATTTCTAGATTCAAGAATAGCAATGGAAAGTTCATAAATAGACGAGTGGACAGTTTAGATAAGGTGTGTACATGGATTTAAGTATTTTTCTCCTTTGACTAAAGATCGACCCTTATTTATATTTAATTAATGCAAAATCTGTCTTGTGTAGCTGCTGTCAGATTATGACGTGGTAGTGAACGCTTCAGGGATTGGTTCAAGGACACTAGTCAAAGACAATGACGTCATTCCGATCCGGGGCCAAGTCTCCAGGGTAATAACATAATAATGATTTACTTTTGTGTTTTATTTTGTAATGGATATGTATAAAATAGATCTATATAAAGTACACTATTTTCAGGTTAAAGCCCCGTGGGTGAAACAATTTATGACATACGAAGGAACGAATGGACATTGTGAAAAATATATTCTACCTGGGTATATAGTTTTATACTTTTGCGGTTCAGTATTTTTATTTAAACATGAATTAATGAATACACTCCATTAAAAAAATATTTGCACATTTTAAGAACCGGATTAGTTAGTGATTTACCGAATATTAAGTTGAAACTGATATTCATTGTTATGGTGTGTTCGATTATATCATGTATCCATTGTAATGGTCTGTTTGGGTATCGGTTATTTATGATGTGTTTGATTATTCATTATTATGGCGTGTTCGAATACCCAATGTTGTTGTGCTGTGTGTAATTATCTAGATCTGACGCTGTCATACTTGGCGGAACTGGTCAGACTGGCAACTGGAACACAAAAATTGATGACGTTGATCGCAAGGCAATTTGGGAGGGTTGTCTAGAACTAATACCAAGTCTAAAGGTATCATTTATTTCGAAAAACGAACAAGCAATCAAGGATTGAATCATAACACCAGTTGGTGTAAAGACTATGTGGACCATTAGTCCCCTAACATAAATAAGGTGCAAAGATATTAACTTAAGATGATGCATAAGTTCTACATTGAATTTTGTTCTTTGAGCAGGATGCAGAAATAATCCAACACTGGGTCGGCTTACGTCCACACCGAGGTTCCGGGGTACGACTGGAAACTCTGAGGCTCCCGACAGGAAAAATGGTAAATAAGATAAGATAATTACACATCTAATCTGACGTTTTTAATTGTATGATCCCCTTTATTTTTATTATTTCATTTTTATAATTTTTATTTTTAGATCGTACATAACTACGGACACGGGGGGTCGGGCGTGACGTTACATTGGGGATGTGCGGGAAAAGTCGTCAAGGAAATCCGGAAAGCGCTTACTCAGTCCCCGGCAAAGCTGTAGGCTGTAGGGAAACAAAGAAGCTATTACAGACCACCAGGGGGCCTTGAAATTGTGTGATAAAGGAGGCCTCATTGAAGAAGCTAGAAAATATATATTTATAAATACATGTAGCACCGATAAATCTAATATGTTGTTTGAAACTTAGTTATAGGAAGGGAATGTTTAATGGTCTTACGTATTTTTTGTAAAAAAAAATGAATGAAATGGAATTTTTTCTTTTAAAGAACCACGTATGATTTATTAAAATTATATATGCGCTATTAAATAAAGAGTCTTTAAAAAAACTATTTTGTATTTTTCAATTAAGAAGTAGAGGTATTGGTAGATTATTCGAGTTTGATTTTTTAGCTCACCTGAGCCAAAGGCTCAAGTGAGCTTTTCTGATCACAATTTGTCCGTTGTCTGTCGTTGTCGTCGTTGTCGTTGTTGTAAACTTTTCACATTTCCATCTTCTTCTCAAGATCCGCTGGGCCAATTTCAACAAACTTGCCACAAAGTATCCTTGGGTGAAGGGAATTCAGGTTTGTTCAAATGAAGGGCCACGCCCTCATTCAAGGGGAGATAATTGGGAATTAATGAAAATTTGGTGGCATGTTTTAAAAATCTTCTTCTCAAGAACCACTGTGCCAGGAAAGATGAAACTTATGAGGAAACATCCTCAGGTAGTGTAAATTCAAGTTTGTTCAAATCATGACCCCCAGGGGTAGGGCGGGGCCAAAATGGCCGACCCAAGTTTTACATAGAAATGTATAGGAAAATTCTTTAAAAATCTTCTCCTCAAGAAACACAAAGCCATAATTGATCATATTTATATGGAAGCATCCTCAGGTAGTGTAGATTCAAGTTTGTTCAAATCATGACCCCCAGGGGTAGGGCGGGGCCAAAATGGCCGACCAAAGTTTTACATAGAAATGTATAGGAACATTCTTCAAAAATCTTCTTCTCAAGAATAGCAAAGCCATAATTGATTATATTTATATTCTAGAAATTTATTATTTGCATCATTTGCAATTTTAATTATTAAAATTGCAAATGATGCAAATAATAAATTTCTAGAATATAAAGAAATTGTAAACCTTCTGTGATGTTCAAAAGTCTACCCTTCTGAAACCATCGTTATTAATCTATACAAATATTTTTCACTTCAAATTCCATTTTTGTGGAAATTTGAATTAAAAATTTAAAAGTACGCGGTGAAAGTTATTCATTTTACTCATTTAAGCATGACCCAAGTTGTTATTTTCAAATTCTTTGACAAAAGTTTGGTTGTATCATCTGTCCTTAACTTCCTATTTAGTACCGTAGTCTGTTTGCAAGCGCGTTACGGATTTTGCTAACGCCCAAATATTTAAAAAATTAAAAATTTATTTCTGAAAATTCATCAGTTTAATCCAATATTGTCAGACTTCCCATTGAACACTTGGATTATTCTAGAAGAGTAGGATGATAATTAGTGGGCGTCAGACATGAGGGAAAATCTGCAATAAGAACCGAATGTAAAGCCAGCCTCCTAATGAAAGTATTCAATAAATCTGATGATACCAGTGCTTTCGAATCATTATGGATTTCGGATGTTTTTTTTCTTATTGATATATTCTATATATCTTGTGTGAAATTAAAAGGAACGAAAGTCATATTATCACCTGATTTATTGAAATAAAAATTCACAAACTTAATTAACAAACAACAAACATAATTAACAAAAATGAGGATTTCTTTACAGTTATGTACATATTATGTACATATTGGGTTGTCATAGGAACCAAAATCTTTTATCTAAAATCATGAACTATAACACATTTAAACACTATACTGAAAATAAAACTGAGAAATGAATTCTGTACAATTAATCTAATGTTCCTAAAATAATTCACCTTTTTAAATCGAATCACATAACAATTCAAGAAGGGTAAGAAATGGGAGAGGACAGTTTCTTTTTTTAATCCGGTCAAAGAAAAGTTTTTAATTACTCCACATCACTGTAACAATTTTATTTTAAAATTATACCGGTGTATTATTTCAATGATGGTCCCTGCATATAAGTTCCCTGACTTGCTGTATTCTCATGACTGTAGCAGTTTGTATGTCGGGCTATGTACTGATATGTTTGAGAGCTTGTTGGTAGGAGTACAGAGCAGCTGATGGTTTCCCTGTTACCTGTTGAGATCTAGAATCTGCCAGGATATGTTTCGTAGATAATAACGAATGCATTCTCCTCTGATCATGGTGGACCAGGTCCTGTAGGTCATTAAGAGCTGTTTGTGCTCGCACTGGGTCTACATATCTGTAACACAAGACCTCTAACATGTGTAACAGAAAATCTAAGTGGTATGAATAATACAGGTTGTCCATACTGTGACAGAGAGAACTGTTGTTCTGGCAATAATTCATTAATGTAACACATTGTACTGGGCAAAAAAAAATCTTTTGCTACGGTATGTCTTATATTTGTAGACCGGGATTGTCCCCTCATAGATTCACTAAAAATGCATCTTCCTGCATTATAATCTTTATCTGAGATATACATTATATATGGTTGTGCTAACTTGACATTTGTCATCTCTATAACTGATATAGCTTTCTTATATCTAAGTGTCTTGTAGTAAAACATTGCAAGATATAACATATCAGAAATACACCCAAACTTGGATGCTAATTTCAGCATATAACTGAATTCTTTGTTAGCCAAATAGACCTGCTTGTTTAAAACTGAACTTGATTTTATCTTGAATGGTGCAAAACCGGTTGAAAACTTGTATAAGATAAAAGCAGTGCTCTGGAGTACAGTGGCTGTAAATATCCGTAACAGGAGAACCTGGTACTGGGTCAGGGGTAAAATTATTAACTTTTCTACAGCACTAAAGAACCTCGTACAATGATATAGCTCTGATGCTGCTATACTATTCCTACTCAGCTCATGAAACAGATCATCTTCAAACCAAGACATGGTGTTCATAATTTGCTCAATTCTACTAATGGACTTTTTAAGGACAGTTGTAACACCAAACCTGATAGACGGACAATAAAACACCAATGCTATACCCCTCGCATACAATTCATGAAGCTTGATGAATAAATTCTTTTGTGCTTCACCATGGATATTACTCAGAAACATGTTGTTTTCTGGAATAAAAAAGTTTGGGCATACTCCCTCATACACCCATTTAAGGATAAGTTTAAAACAGACCCAGAAACACTCCAGTAAATTTTGTGGAAACCAATGATGCAATGTGTTTTGTTGAATCATCCAGAGAACTGCTGTCTTCATGTGATACGAACACAGAAATTTATCCTCGTCCCTTAATCCATGATTAATAGACTCTTTTAAGAACAGCTTAAGCAGCCCATAGGTTAAAAATTGACAATGATTCATTGAATATACAAGTTTTTGTTCTGCCAAAGAGAAAGAAAGTCTCCATTCTTTGTCTGCATGTTTTCCTAGCTTGTGTCCTATTGCTACAAAGTGGCATCCATTTCTGACTATGTCATCAACAATATAAGATGGGGGCCATGAATGACATCTGTCTATCCATTTGGAGGCAGAAGGGGGCCAAAAATCACAGACAAAACATTGGGCAGTATCATACTCTCCTCCTTCCATTATAACACCACTACCACACGGACCATGTTCCTTAGAATTAGGTAAAAATGCCGAACATTTAATTTGTCTGTATTTAGAACTGGATATATAGAGCCTGTCATTTACTCTCATACATGCATTCTGTACACTTTCCATGTTTGTTGGTGTCATTAATTCAAGTAACCCATACCCTGGAGGGCTCTCTGTACAATCACAGAGAATCAGTGTTTTTCTACTTAAGTAATAATTCTGAACCTGATCTAAGTTCCATATTACCGTGTGGTCACTTCGCCAAAACATGCCGTCCATATCTGAACTCTGTAGTCTGAATCCTTCTCTGCGACTCCCACTAGTCAACATTCTGTCTCCTGTTGTTTCTATTACTTGATTTACCATCATGTCCCTGAAGTCCACCAACTCTCTCCTCACTGATCACCTGCTGTGAGGTACCCACTATGAAACTCAGTCCCATAAATACAGTCTCGGACAGATGCTGCATACCCAATTCCCTGTACAAAACATGATAAATATATCTACAAAAGTATGATAAAATTAATGTCATCATCAATGAGTCCTGTAGTAATATTGAGTTATGTAATTAACTACATGTAATTGTCTAGACCGAAAATCATACATCGTTTTTATGTTCCAACGCCTCACTAATTACACGTCTATGATTGTCCTTTGATCACATAATATATAGCAATATAATCATATTTTTGGGCAGTCATAAAATAGAGTTGTCGTGATACATGAACAAAATTGTGTAAGGTTTATACTTTACAGTGTGTATGGAAACTTCCTTTCTGAATAATCCGATTTCAAACAATTAATACTTTATTTTTGGTTTTCCAAATTACACACACATATCCCGACAAATTGCTTATTTTGATGTGGAATAAGTGAATTTGCTAGAAATACTTTTTATCATTTAGCATCAGACAAAATCATGATCAAGTGTTATGATCATATGTTTCCACATTTCAACCATATTGCAGTATACCTATTTGATTTTTCAACTTGAACAAATGATCTGAAGGGCCATTATCTTAAAAACAAGATGCCACCGATATTATAGGTCACCTGAGTATCAAATAACAACTTTACAACAATTGAATTTGGTTCGTTTCATAAATCAAAAGCCATGAAATTTACAATTTTGAAAGAGACATAAGACATTGTTTATCATAAGTATACACTTAGCATGCTTACTTTAGTTACTTAATACCCAGAGGTAGATCAACGTTATATAGAGAAAATGCATTTCCACTTTATAATCACCAGTTGTGCAGCCCACCCCTACAGGAACCACTGACCCTAGGGCCACATAATTTTAAAAAAATGGAAATTTTATCTTAAATTTTATTTCATCATAAATAGCTGATTAATACCAAAGAGCAGATTTCAAAGCATTAATTTATCTTCAGACTTAGTATGTAAACCCCCAGTTTCCTTGACCCAGGGGACATGATATTGACACTTTCGGAAGAGGCACCTATCTTCATCATAAATATGTACTTAGATCATTGGCATACTAAGTAATACCAAGGAACAAAGGACACGATTTTCAAAGGATTAAGCACTTTCATTATATAATCATTAGAACCCTTCCTTAACACCAGAACCTCTGACCCAGGGACCCTGCAATTCACAAACTTGGAAGAGGCATCCTTCTTCATCAAAACTATGTTCATTGGTTTAATACCCGGAAGCAGAGGAGAATATTTTTAAAGAATTGATGTTTTTCACTATATAATCAATAGAGACCCGAGGCTCGCTAATCTATCATAACTATGCACTTGGTAAGTTCATTTAATATCCAGGGACAGAGAAGAGGGGATTAAAAGAAATGATGTATTTTCACTTTATAATCAATAGAGCCACATCATAACACCAGAACATTCAACCTAGGGGCCATGAAATTCCCAATTTTAGAAGAGACATTATTGCTCATCATAACTATGTACTTGATTAGTTTATTTAATGCCCAGTAGCAGAGAAGATTTTCAAAGAAATAATGCATTTTCATTTTCACTATATAATCTATTTAGCACATAGCACTAGAACCCATGATCCTTTGACCACGAATGTACAAGTTTGGGAGAACACAAGGCTGATTTCAACCATGCCAACAGTTTCACTGCTTGATGTACAGGGGTAAAGAGAAAGATTTTTAAAGATTGCATCAATTTAGTAGTTTCAGCCCAATCCCTCGGCCCCAAGGGGGCACGGACCATGAAAATTCACAATTTATGTTTCTCTTCGATGCTTTGTGCAAAACTTTTTGAAATTGATTGAGTGGTTGCAGAAAAGAGGCTGAAATGTTCAAATGTTAACACACGACGGACGATGACGGATTAAAACTTAGCAATAGCTATGTCACCTGAGTGTAGGTGGATCGGTAAATATATTTTGTCATCTTTAAAAAACATTCTGAATTTTAACAGAATATTTACTTCGAGTAAAAAAAGTACAAAAGAAAAAAGTGAATTTTAAGAAGAATATCATGTAAATGTAATTCAGAGGCAAATTAATGGTATTAAAATTTGTTCACAACTATTTTCTACTCGACATTGAGATATATCTTTATACCCGCACTTTCTAAAGAAAGTTCGGGTATATTGTTGTTACTCATGTCCGTCCGTCCGTCCGTCCGTCTGTCACACTTTTCTTCCCTGAACTCCTCTTACATTTTACACAGTAGCCTAATCATCTTTTGGGAGATGGTTGGTGGTGTCATGTAGATGTGCAGTAAGGTTTCGGAATTTTGATTTTGCCCCGGGGGGTCAAATGGGGGTCGAAAAATGACGTTTTTTATGCAAAAAGCCCCGTCTTCCCTGAACTCCTCTTACATTTTACACAGTAGGCTAATCATCTTTTGGGAGATGGTTGGTGGTGTCCTGTAGATGTGCAGTAAGGTTTCCGAATTTTGATTTTGCCCCGGGGGGTCAAATGGGGGTCGAAAAATGATGTTTTTTATGCAAAAAGCCCCGTCTTCCCTGAACTCCTCTTACATTTTACACAGTAGCCTAATCATCTTTTGGGAGATGGTTGGTGGTGTCATGTAGATGTGCAGTAAGGTTTCGGAATTTTGATTTTGCCTTGGGGAGTCAAATGGGGGTCGAAAAATGATGTTTTTTATGCAAAAAGCCCCGTCTTCCCTGAACTCCTCTTACATTTTACACAGTAGGCTAATCATCTTTTGGGAGATGGTTGGTGTTGTCATGTGGATGTGCAATAAGGTTTCGGAATTTTGATTTTGCCCCGGGGGGTCAAATGGGGGTCGAAAAATGACGTTTTTTATGCAAAAAGCCCCGTCTTCCCTGAACTCCTCTTACATTTTACACAGTAGCCTAATCATCTTTTGGGAGATGGTTGATGGTGTCATGTAGATGTGCAGTAAGGTTTCGGAATTTTGATTTTGCCCCAGGGGGTCAAATGGGGGTCGAAAAATGATGTTTTTTATGCAAAAAGCCCCGTCTTCCCTGAACTCCTCTTACATTTTACACAGTAGCCTAATCATCTTTTGGGAGATGGTTGGTGGTGTCCTGTAGATGTGCAGTAAAGTTTCAGAATTTTGATTTTGCCCCAGGGGGTCAAATGGGGGTCGAAAAATGATGTTTTTTATGCAAAAAGCCCTGTCTTCCCTGAACTCCTCTTACATTTTACACAGTAGCCTAATCATCTTTTGGGAGATGGTTGGTGGTGTCCTGTAGATGTTCAGTAAGGTTTCGGAATTTTGATTTTGGCCCAGGGGGTCAAAAGGGGGTCAAAAATGACGTTTTTTATGCAAAAAGCCCTGTTTTCCCTGAACTCCTCTTACATTTTACACAGTAGCCTAATCATCTTTTGGGAGATGGTTGGTGGTGTCATGTAGATGTACAGTAAGGTTTTGGAATGTTGAATTTGCCCCGGGGGGGACTAATGGTGTCGAAAAATGATATTCTAAAAAGTGAGGTCAAGGTCAAAGGAAAATTCAAGGTCAAAATAAGTTGATGTATTAATAGCTCTTAGCAGTATGTATCAGCATATGAGGTTTGATAAATATATCTTGAATTGTTTATTCAAAACTGGTCTAGACATTAATTTTAGAAAAGTGATATCAAGGTCACAGGAAAAGTCAAGGTAAAAAAGAGTGAAGCATCGTAAAGCTTACATCAGTATGTATCATCATGTGAAGTTTCATTACACAACTTGAATGGTTTCTTTAAAATAAAGCTAAACACTAATTTAAAGAAAAGTTAAGTGAAGGTCAAAGGAAAAGTCAAAGTCAAAAAATATTGCTGCAGTTGGATATTTACATCAGTATGCATCAACATATGAACTTTGATAAAAATATCTAGAAAGTTTCTTTGAGCCCGATGGAAAGACAGATGGAAGGGTGGAGGACGGACATGACAAAAACTATACATGTATTCCTAATCATGGTGTGGCATAAAAAACTTGAATCTACATTATATGAGCATGTTCCATCTATCAAGATTATACAAGCAAATTCAAAGAATTGTGGTCCTCTGCTTTCTGTGTTTTACTGAATGAGATACCATAATTTATGGCAGATTGTGTGTCAAATATGCACCCCTATCATATATCAATTTTTGAAAATTGGGTCAAAGGGGGAAAAAATCATAGCATGCTCTGAAACATTTTGTTGCAGGTAATGTACATGTCAAATATGAAAGTCCTGTCTCTTTTGAATTGAAAGTTATATATACAATATAATATTTTTGAAAAGTAGGTTAAACTTCTAGGTCAAGGTCACAGAGTCAAAAGTCATGATATATTTAGAAAAGTCTTTTCACATGTAATAAACATGTATAATCTGAATGCCCTTTCTTTTCTCTTTCAAAATGATCAATTTAAAATGTTATTTTTTGGAAAGGGTAACTTTAAGGTCAAGGTCTCACTTGGGTTAAAAAATCATAGTATATTTAGAAAGTTTTGTGGTAATGTGCATGTGAAATATGAAAGCACTATCTCTTATCATTCAAAAGTTATGACCAAGGTTAAATTTATTGTGACAGATGCACATACTAGCTGTCAATAAGATGGACAGACTGACAGACAAATGAGATTTTTAGTGTCCCCTCCCTTTCCCCAAAATGGGGGACAAGAATGCCCTTGCTGTTCTTGAGAAGAAGATTTATGATGGAAAAAATCCCCTGCATATTTCTTAACGCAAATCAATATTGTGTTTTTATGTCATTTTGTTTGTTGTTATACATCCCTCAGGAATTTTTCACTCATATGGAGACACCACCACTTGAAAAATAATGAGGACAAGTTAGATTTGCGGTCAACATTTATTTTAGGAGTTTTCAACCATTAAGACGTAAAGAAATATTAACTTGATCCTTCCCCTCACCCCTTCCCAGATCCCTGTTTGTTCATGTATG